GACATTATTGCAACCTGTAATTGTAATATTTCATGAGAATGTGACAGCAACATTCCAGTAACATTGCAATAGCAATATTCGGTAATTGCTAGTTCGTTCGTTTACCGCTATGCGACGCGCGTTGCAAAATCTATCTCGTATTTAAGTTTTAGTCATGATGATTATATGAAACTTGCAAAGAGTGGCTAGTAAGATTAAAGACATAGTAATTATTTTTATCAGTTTAATTTTTCTGATACGACCTCAACACAGGGAATTCAGATATTGAACTGATTGTTCAAAAATTGGACAGATAAAATGTCCGAATAAATAAAAATATATGCAACATTATTCTAAGATTGCAATAACAATGCATTATTGCAAATTCATTACATTGCAATATTACTGTAATCTTTCGTTACAATCTTCCTAAAAGCGGACATTTTAACGTTGCTGCAATCCCACAACAATGATGCAACAACATTTTGCAGTGAATTTGCAATATTGCAACATTGCGATGAAAGATTGATGCAATGTGTATGCAATCTTTGTGTACTGTATGAGTATATATATATATATATATGATGTGATGTATGTATGATTATGTACTTTATGTTTGCGCAATAAAAACACAACAAAATAAAACAAGAAAATGTATATTTACTCATACACACCTTTATATAATAATATATAAATATATATATTCATATTCATTTATATATAGGTGTATCTATTTATGTATGGACAAATTCGGTATATAATTTTGTATAATTAGATATGTACTATTTTTGTCTAATTATGTATGAGAAATTTTTTACCGGGGAGTTTAGCGACGGTCGATTGTTTTAGTATGTTAATTAGCGCGAGCAAGTGCAATTAACATATCTTTCGATATTCGGAAACAAATGTCTCGTCAAATCAGAGCCGATCGCCATTTTGCTTCGTGCCGTTTACGCGTCGAAAGTAAATTTTACATACGAATGCGTGCCGGGAGTGTCGAGTTTAGCAACGAGCGATCGTCTTTATGCATAATACGATGTGAATGAGTATTGTATTAACATATTTTTCGATATTCGATGCATAACAGGTATTTGTTCTGTCGGATAAGCGACGCGGCTTGTCGGAGCGATTTGCCTACTCATACGTACTCTCATACCTACTCTCGTGTTATCTCGCATTATCATGAGTATAATCAGACATCGGGAGGATTGAGAGGATCATCAGGATAGTCGAAGGAACGTCGAGGGATCGCCGAGAAGATTAATGAAGACAAATGATTCTGGGCGATTTTCGGGGTAATAGTCAGTGGTCACGTTCGCCGCTATATTTGTTACAATCGTGTAATTTTAAATCAATTTCCATCGACCAATCATCGCGAGTGTAGTAAATGTTGGTAGTACCGAGTAAATTTATCGGGCAATTATCGTTTTTCGCGTTACACGATAAAGCCATTTGATGAATAAATTTAATAAGCCGATGGTGTTATGAATAAACTGCGATGTAGTGAAAAGATAGTCGGGAGTGCCGTATAAAGTAACGGGCGATTGTCGTGATAGATAAATTGTGCAAGTGTGTGTTTATGTGGTGCTAATCAACCATGGATCGACGAGAGCGATTGGAGTGAAGGATTCAACGCCAGGAAAAAGCGGGATACAACGGGATACGAGCTAGTACCGACGATGCATCGACCGGTGAGTGAACGTGTTTATTTTATTTACGAGATATTTTTACTTACAAGATTCGAGAGAGGTATTTTTTTTACTCATTAACGAAAAGTTTACTAACAAAATATATATCGTTGCGGTATAATAATATATACGGGGACGAAAATATTTAAATGTTTAAAATTATAAACTGATTGTAATTTATGAAATCTAAAAAAATTTTAATTGCATTAAATAAATTGATGCAATATTATTACAAACTGAAATGTGTTAGTGCAATTTTCAACGAGTCCACAGATGCGATTGGAATATAATTTTAATGTAGAATTTTTTTATTAAAGTTGGATATAATTTAGGCTTTAAAGGGATTAAGTCGGGCATCGGTGCTTTACTAGGTGAATAAATTTCCCAGGGGTACCTGAGAGAGGTGTCTGGTCAGAGTTTACTCGAGATGTTTGTTCGTAGAGGATAAAAGCATGCAAGGTAAAAGCACGAAACTGTTTACACGATGTAGTATTAATTAATACTACTACAAGTTGGTTAAACATATCACACCGCTTCATTATTCTGAATTAAATGAAAAAAATCGAATAATATATTATTGTCGCGTAGCTACGTCGTTTTCTATCGTAACAAAATATTATGACACATCCCAGTGAGCATTATTAAGAGGAAGAGCTCTTTAAGAGGACTTTTTGAAGACCTCATTAACATCTCTTAAAAATGATATCAATAAGTTATCTTTTTATAAGACGTCTTTCAAAAAAGCCCTTTATGATGTCCACTTATAGATGTCTCTAGTAAGTGAGCTCTTGAACCGATAACAACCGGTAGTTCGATACGGTCGTCAAGGATAATAAACAATAATAAACGCTCGCGTTGTGCGCGCCAAGTG